GATTTATGTTTTTGACTTATGACTAGAAAATCTAATAAATTATAGTAATGATTTGCACATTTTATATTAATATGATTAATAGTATAATATTAATGTTTTAATTTTTATTAAGAACATTTTTTTAGCTGTACAATATTATTCAGGAAATATTATTAATCGAATTTAATGATCACGTGAACAACTATTCTTCGGAGCTTTTTAATAACATTTAGAGTATAGCAATTATAATATRTGTRTMTMWAWATTATTACAAATKACTAATTTAAGAGAAAAATTTGTTTCAMTTCAATTAATTYTGTGAAAATATACGAGTATCATAACAATTATAATTATGTCATCATTTTAGTAAACTGAAATCAGAGTGACTGCTACAGCAGTGTATCATATATCATGTTGTCCGAGTCGTCGTTCAGCGGTGAAATGGAAAAACAACCACTGCTGTCATCGAAAAAAACTCCGATCCGGCGTTCACTATTGGCGAGCTTTCTCGGTAAGGTCATAATAATAATAKCATAAGACTGTAACGATTCTTTAGTCAAAGCTTAAAGTGGTAATAAATATGATATTATTAATATTATTATATAGCTCGTAACGATTTGTATCGATTCTTCATCATTAGGGTCATTCACTCGTCTTTTGAATGACGGCCGTCTACTATTCGTAAAATGTTTTTTTATTTTAAATTTATTATTGGTTACAATTGTGCAATGGTGACATCATTCGTTACTATTTTATGAACATACATATTATATAAATAATACGCAATGTCGCAATATTAGGTAAACTTGTTTTTCCTTGCAATTCTTTAAAACATTTTTAACACCTGAACTAARTATTCATTTTTAGCTAAATATACAGCACACATAAATACTGATTTTTGTTTTTCATCATTATAAAATATGATAAGGGCATCATAAATTTCGATTGTTTACAAATCATCATGTTTCATAAGAAAAAAAAAAATAGTACAAGTCTTATAAACTTGAAAGTTGTTGTTGAAGGATATATTTTATATTTTCAGTGCATTGGCTGATGAGTAATTTATTGAAAAATATTAAATGTTTTCTTAAATATTACATATACCTAAAATTATATTATTATCATGTTACCGTATTTGATGTTAAAATTAATTACCTAATTGGTTTTTCGTTACCAAAAGCTTCCTTGATGTCGTTTACTTCGGGAACCGTGGTTGGTGGATGGACGGCTCCACAGCATCCCGAATCCGTCGGAGATATGATGTTCATGATGGAAACCATGGAAGAGACGTCGTGGGTCGTTTCCATATACCTGATTGGAGCGCTCTTAGGTGCACTTCCGGCCGGCCAGATATCACGGACCATCGGCCGCAAGAAGTTCCTGCTGTTCCTCGCGGTTCCCATGACGGTTGGATGGCTGTTAATCATGCTCTTCGTGAATGAAGTAAATTTCTAATAAAATAATACATATTATATCATGGTAAATAATTGAGCATTGGATCACCAACTTCAAAAAAAAAAAAGGTTGTCGAGTGGGTACCGCTTATACCGCGCTGCTGAGCAGTAATTGTCGAACATGTCAATGTAACGATAGTGCTTGGTGTATTGGCTGTATATTTTGAATTCAATGATAATTAATCATCATATRCAATAAAACGTTTAGGTGTTTTACTGTTGTTTCATCCTTGCAAACTTGTATTTAATATTAAATTTAATAATTAAAAAAAAATACAAATCGAACATTTCTCGTGCCTATAAATAGCTCAAAAATAGTCAAAATATTTCGAAAATGTTACCGTATATGGAAAGTGTTAATGTAAATATTAAGTAAAAAATGCTAATTGTATGGTTATTATTTTTTGAGTTACGCCAAAAAAAAAATAGAAAAAAATATTTTTTTGTGAATTGGTTTTGCCTAAAAATGATAATTTTTTCACTATTTTTTGTTTTTACCGTCGCTTACTGCAGTACTAAACTACTGGTAATTTTTAACCTGAATTTCCCAACTGTACACACTTTTCTATCAGAAGAGATGTCGATTTCAAAAATGTAAGCATTTTTACTACCTACTCCAAATGTTGATGATAGAAAAAAACTCACTCRCATATCATTGTAAATCCAATACTCATTCATCGTTACGTTCGGGCTTTAATATAATAATATACGTACAACAAATTGACATTTGATTAAATTACCAACTTTAATGAGATATACACTGCTCCGTCAATTAAGTATATGCATGGCTGACGTGACTTACGTATTTTTATTAAAACCAAACGGTATCAAATTACTATCGTATAGTGTGGTTTTTGTATTTATATATTCTATAATAGTAATAATAAGCACATTATTGAAATTTAAAAATAATATTCATAATAACAATTAGCTTCCTCTACAGTGGCATAATTTGGTCATACTTGTGTGTGTGTGTGTGGGGGGAGGGGGGTGGATTGAAACACATACCGACCGATACCACTAAAAAAAAAAATGTTGGTTCATATTGTAAACACTTCTAAGTACAACCATTGTGATTCATAGATAAGTCATATATAAATGCATCGTAAATCTTCAAAGGTTATAACTTATAACTTTGGAAGTAAACCATCCAACCGACGAATTATGATTACATCATTGTTCTTAACTCTATTATAAATACGTAAGTTTCAAAAATAATTCCTAAAAATCACTTGGGATCTATAAACTGCAAAGTTATACCGTGGTTAGTGTTTATTACGATGTAATATTATCAGCGTTATGTACAGATAGCATATTATAGGGGAGCCGGTTTTTATATGTTATTTCAATAAAATATAAAACAGTATACCTTATAAATATAAATAATAATATTTAGAGTTGAAAGAGTACTTAAATATGGTTTTCCAGTTTTAAAACAAAGTCATGGGTGATAAAGCACCCCCTCCYCCGTAATTACACCATTGCTCCGCCACTATACGACAATTTAAATTAGGCATTACTCATGTACTTGATAATTTGATCACAACAATGTGTAGTTTTCTGTTTGTAGGGTTCAATGACTTTTCACTTTTTATTATTATACATACTATGCGTATACGTAAACGTCTCGTAACAATTACCTATACAATAACAATACACATTATTTATGATTGTCCTGATTGTTTCGGCCGCAGGTATATTTGATTCTCGTCGGACGTTTCCTGTGTGGACTGTCGCTGGGTGCCGTCACGGTGGCTGTGCCACTGTACAACTACGACGTGGCACCAGACGTGTGTCGCGGACGTGGTGGCGTGTTTCTTGACTTCATGCTGTGCGCGGGCATCCTGTACTCATACGTGTCCAGTTCCTTGCTGGGCCTCCAGATGTTCGCTTTAACCTGCGCCATCTTCCCGCTAGTGTTCTGCGCACTTTTCTGGCGCATGCCCGAATCGCCGCTTTACCTGTACAGCCGAGGACGCTTCTTGGACGCCAAATCGGCCCTCATGTACGGTCGCCCTTACTAAATTATTGCAGCGTGCATACCAGTAGCACAGGAGTGTGATTTTTGTGGTGGTTAAGTGGGGAGTGGTGGAGAGGAGAGACACGATGTTCGTCCGGGTTTCGAATTCTAGTCACTATGATAATTGAACGACGCCGAGCGTGATTTCGATGAGTTTTAAGTATAGGTACGTCATTTTGGAACGCCGCGGAGAGCTTRGTTGATCGGTTCCTATATGYTTTATCGGTGCGAACGAAGTAAAATAATAGCTGAAGCTCGGATGTCGATGCATGACTTTTCCATTTTCTTTCTCTTTTTTGTCGTAACGTCTATAAGAGACCTCTTATGCAGTGTTGGTGAGTTGCGGCCCAAACCCTAAATAACGTACGAGTTGCGGCCTGGGTTTATGAAAGGAACGTACGAATTGCGGCCATACAATAATGTATATATTA